GTAGGGAAATGCTGTCATCCTCGTTGTCAAATGGTGAACAGGATCCCAGTAATCAGATCATATTTTCATATCATTTATGCTTCCTTAGCCACTGCAGGGCTCAGAATTGTCAACTGTCTATAAATTTATGCACAGGAAAAAAAAAAACCCAAAAAACACTAAAATCACTTGTCCTTAAAAAAAAATTGAGTTGTTCATAAAAAAAATTATAATAATAAAAAAAAAAAGCAAAGAGTGAGCTTGTTTTAAGATCTGTCATGGGAATGAGGTGGGAGGCGAGTATTGATGGACAAGCCCAGAAGAGCCATGCCACCTTGTGTTTGAGTGGGAGCACAGCTCAGGACCCTGCAGGGAGGCCCGTGTTAGGACTCAGTGGCCCAAATGAGCTTTTGTAGCGTCCTCCATTCCCAGCCAGGCACTACTGCTGAATCCTGCCCATTGCTGACCTGTAATGAATGCTGGCCTCAAAGGCAGGAAGGACCATATGGCCCCAGGCAGTCTGCAGCACTGGGCAGGACAGGGATAAGGTGGTGTGAATGACATGGAGCTGTGGGGCTGGGAGTGGGGAGAGGCAGTAGGTGAGGCTCTGTGGCAGCAAGTAGAGGCAGAGCCATCAGGGTAAAAATGGGGTTAGTGGGCAACAGGGTGCAGTGGATTTGAGTAGGGAACTCCTGGGGTATGGGCAACACAGTGTAAAACCACTGCTGCAGTCAAGTAAGTTTTAGGAGTTTAACATTAACCAAAACTTGAACCCAGCGCTTGTTACTGCCATCCAGGGCCTGGCAGAAGGTTTATACTTATATAACATAAAACATTCATCAGTTAAAATATTTGGTTGTCAGTGAAAAGATTTCTCAGTAAAAAGCTGCTGTGAACATCTAAGAAGATGCATTGACTGTTCTGGGACTTAGTCACCATGTGGCTCTGATTGTACCTTGTTCAACACGTCTGCTTCAAAAGCTGGCTTCTTTTCTTCATACCCCTCTCCCTTCTATGGCTGGGCCATCTCTGACTTGGGAGTAAGAATGGCTAATGACAATCTTCAAAGCTCTTTTTGTTAAATCATATGAGAACGCATTTGTTTGTTTTCCAGGCAGTTGTGAAATGAGACTCATTGCCAGTCTTGCTGACTAACAAAAAGCTTGGCTTGGCTAAAGAGTGAGAGTCCATTAGGGAATGACTTTTATTGGAACTGTTATCAATGTCATCTAGGGACTCTATATATGAACTCATTGCAAAAAAACAGTCTGTGCTGCTGTCTCAGCCTCTACAGCATGCAGTTTTCTGTGGTACCTGCTAAATTACTCTGTGCAGAATGTAGTTATTTAAAAATGAACTGACATGGACCACCCTTTTCTGATTGATGCCTGTCCTCTTTTCCTTCACATCTCTCCTTAAAGACACACCTCTATGTGGCCAGCCAGCCTCAGGCCTCTCTCAGAAGTGTGAATGAAAATAGATGCTTCAAAGTATAACCCTTCCCAGTGGCAAATCATGAGCCAAAGTGGGCATGCTCTTCTCCCTTCCTCCCTCTTTGAGCTCTATGTATGGCTTCAGCTTCTCTGTCACTCTGTTCTTTCTCCATCTAAGGAACTGAGGACTTATGAAGAGTTTATGCTTCATTTGGACAGAATCAGATCCAAATTGAACTGGGGTGGAATTGGACACTGAGGAAGCTATTCAAGTTTGCTTCTGAGCATGTGCCATGAGTCCACAGGTGCCCCCAAGACCCACACTGAATTCCACCTCTTGTGCATGTAAGAAGGCTTCAGTGCCTAAGCATGATTGTGGCCTGCCCTGCTGGAGTCTTGAAGAAACTGTTAGTGCACAAGGTGAGTGGGTCCTCCTCCTCCTGGCTGCTTTTTTATGACTCACTTTTAAGGTTAAGATGATGATGTGTTATAAAAGGAGTTCTGTTAGTGCATCTTTAGGGACCTGAGGAGGGTTGAATGGACTCATGCTTTAGTACATGAAGCCCACTTAGCCCAATAGGTGGAACAGGATCTGTCCCTTATTATTTCCAGTTACTATGCATTGGGTTTTTTTATAGCACTTTTTTTTCTAGTAGTGGGTCCTCTCCTACATGTGCTATAAGTGTGGGATATAGTAACCCAGCTCTAAACTTCTTACACACTCTGACCAAGTCACGACTAGACAGTATGGTGCCCTGGAAAGGGGGAAGGGCAGATTTTGCTGTTTTGTTGTGTGTTTTCACTGCAGACCCATGTGTTGAGCAGCCATTTAAAACAAAATTTTCAACAGCCCCAAAAAATTAAGTGAAAATTCCTGGTACAGCAGCAAACCTCCAGGTGTTACTGCTACACCGTACACAACTGCTGACACTCTGCCCTTCCTGCTGCCAATGCTGAAGCAGGAGCTGCAACATGAAAGGTGCAGGGTGCAGAGGCAGGTGTACCCCACTAGCTCTACACCAGCACACCCCTTTAGGCAGTATCTGAGACTCATGTTCTGCTTGCCAACCTAATGTTATGCTATGGCAAGAGTCTCAGATTCATCTGGCCCTGTGACCTGGATGAGCAGCATGGATTCAGTCTACAGGCCGGATCAGGGTCACCTCCCTCCCCACCACAACTTCCCTGGTCCAGCAGAGGCAGCATCTATTTGGGCCAGTGTAGAATGCTGTCCCAAGCAGGTGATATGAGTGGTGCAGGCCAGGATCTGGCCCTGGCAAGTATGGGAGTACATCGCAGGCACCGTATGCAAGGATGGTCCAGTGCAGCCAAAGGGGCAGCACCAGAGGCTAGATTATAGGGCTCTGAGGGCTAGATTCAGCCCACAAGCTATATGTTTGATATCCCTATACTCCTTCATTCTGAGCTAGCCACAAGATCACTGTGAGGATGCTGTTGGGGGTAGATATAGAAAACATACTTCATGCTGAGGTGTTGCCGCACCCCCCAGATATGTGCTCCTCTGGGCCCACTGCAGATCTGAAAATCTGAGAAGCATTCTCAACTGACCCAGTATGTCATTTTATATGCATGATCCTGAATGACTAGGCTATTCACTGCATGAAGTATTTATAAGTGCCTCACTAGTGCAAGAGGAATTGAAACCATAGCTGTAGAGTCTCTGTTCTTTGAGGCCATGGATGGCACAGACCCCTCTTTGCACCAATTCAGCCCCTGAGTGGATGAAGGCATGTGACCATAAACCATCCTGCTTAACTGCCCAAGAAAAATGTCATCCCACTTGATAACTTGTCATACTTTTAGCATCAAAACTAAGTCACAAAAAAGTGAGGAGGAGCAGGGGGCTTACCTGCCTTTGTGTCAACTGTTTGTCAAGGACTTGGCTAGGATGGACTATGATCACTCTTAGACATCTAACAGGTGGAATAGGATCAGGCCCAA